GGGAGGCGGAGACGAAAACAAGCGGCATCTGCGCGCCGGCCCCCCAGAAAGCAAAACACGGGCCAGCTGCTTGACCTGTTTGTTCTGGACTTATCTTTAGTCTCTCTGCTTTGTTTTGATTGGTTCTCACGCTCTCTGAGCGTTCCTCGCCACCCGAGAGGCGGGCTGACCCTGACGCGCCGCAGAGACTAAACCCGGCCCTGCTCTGGTTCTACAGCCGGCCCCCCCCCGGCGGCCCCCGGCCCCCCCGGCGGTACGTACGGATGAAGGCGGAGGCCAGCGCGCGGACGGAGGCGGCGCCCGGCGCCAGCACCTGCAGCGGCTGGCGCTGGTGGAGCTCCAGCAGCAGCAGGTGGCCCCCCCGGGTGCCCACCCACAGCGCCGCCGAGCCCTGCAGCAGCAGGGCCTTCACCGTGGCCCAGGGGGGGCTGGCGCCCGCCCCCCCGCGGCCGCTCTGCCGCCAGGCCCCGCCTCCCGGGTCCTGCCTGCGGGGGGGAGGAGAGGTGGATGAGTGGGTGCGCCAGAGAAAAGGTGGCGAGGGAGGGGGGGAGGGGGGGGGGCCTGCCTGATGATCTGAGCGGCGTCGATGCAGTCCACCATCCTCTCGCTCCGCTTGTCCCACACCTCCACAGTGGACAGTCCACACTTGCTCAGGTAGACCAGTTTCTCCACCACCACTCGAGACACGCAGGCCTCGCCACTCACCAGCCGCTGCTGCCTGCAGGAAACACACACACACACACACACACACACACGCTGACCTTTGACCTCCTGAGGCCCTGCGTCCTCACATCAGGACGCTGCATTTTGGCCTCTCTTACCAGGATACTTCTTTCTTTGACCTCTTGGCCTTATAGTGGACGCTATCAGACACTAATATTTGAAATCTAAAGTAAAATCATTTTATACATTCTCAACCAATCATGTTCTTATCGTGTAATTAAAATGTTGTAAATACGTCATTTGGACTGTCAGAACCAAATTGCAAAAACATTCAATTGAAAATATAAACAAACATTTTAAATCTAAAGATAAACCAACTGAGCCTGTATGAAAAGAAACTCCCTGTACTGTACCAGGACAAAGTTGTTAAACTTTTTAGGTCCTGCTGATCCCAGAGATGTTGAAAAAAGCCAAAAGGCACAGCCAATAAAAGCCCGGCTCTCAGGAGGTCAACAACCCTTTCTCGGTTATTGTTTTAAACCCCATCATGAGGCGTGGGGCAGAGGTGAGTTCTGTTTCGGGGGGCTGCTCACTGGGAGGGGAGGCTGGGTCTGGTGTCGATGGACTTGCAGACGTCGTAGTCGGTGGACAGGCAGAGGACTCTGGCCCCGCAGCCGGCCCACACTGACCGCCCGTCCGGCGGGTCGGCCGACTGACCCAGGCACAGCAGCGGGGTGTTCACATTGCCCACGCTCAGAGTTTTGACTGGCTCGCCGTTCTCACGCTGGGGGGGGGGGGGGTCACAGGATGTTGAAACAATGAAGATTTGAAATGTAATATATAAAATCAAAATAGTCCGACATTCATTAATTCATTCTGTGTTTACCATCAGCACACTGTCCTCATAAATGCTGAGAACGCCATCTGCTGTCCCAACCAGCAAGTAATTCTTCCTTTGGCTGAAACCAATAACAATAACAATATAAGAAGAAGAAGAAGACATCTAAATACAGAACTTAAGAAAACAGAGTAATCTACCACATTTTGCCTTCCTCTGCTGAAAAATTCCGGTTAAACTGGAGCCCCAAAGCTCCTGACATAATGGGGGAATAATGAGTAAAAATGGGTTTAAAGGTGGTGTTCATTGTTTCTGATCAGAATGCGTCTATGAAAGCTTTGGGTAACGTTCAAACTGATCAAATTTCAACTTTAATTCACGCTGTAATGGCTGTGACTCATGATAGAGAAGTGTAAACTGCATATTCTGTGCTGATGATGGCATCTGACTCCTTATCATTACCCTTAGCTTTGCTTTTCCTTGATTTAGACGTTTAAAATTCCAATTTCCCAGATGCCTGTGAATGCAGCACCGTACATCTCAAGAAATAAACCTGTAAAACTATCATTAGAATCACTATTTCTATTCATTTTAAAAAGTTATATTTGAACTTTGTATCAAACCTCTGTCTCAGTTCAACTTATTACCACAAAGCTTATGGAGCTCGGAGGCTGCAAGGCCCCATGGATGCGGGCGGGGGTGGGGGTGGGGGTGGGTGCTAAAGCTACTCAGGACGAGCGTCTCTGTGGTGTTCTGGACAAAAGCAAGTCACGAGCGCCTCAGTAAAACCTCAGGATGTGGCCTCGACTTGTAAAAGTCTCTGTATAAGTCATGTGATGGATCATGAGAACTGTTTTAGCCTCAGGAGACGCATCGCTGCATCCTCTCTGCATCATCCCCGCATCACCTCTGCATCATCCCCACATCATCCCTGCACGCTCCACTGACTCATCGGTCCGTCACAAAGCTCAGAACTGTCGCGATTTCATTGCCTGCTTCACAAAAACGTGTCTTAGGTTTGATTTGGCCATTTGTTTTTTACTCAAGGGGCCTCAAGACACCTCTGACTCTGGACCGCGTTTATAGTCTGACGTCAATGGTTTTGAGCCCCTTAAAACCTGAATTTACTGTATATAATTTACTGTATATAAATA